TGAAGTCCCCAAAGTGCCCCGGCCGACTTACTGGAAATGTCCAGAATACCCCGGTCGGTTCGTATTCTGCCTACTTCCTAGTCAGCATCTAGATCCTTCCTTAACTTCCTTATTATCCTTAACTCTCCCTCAATACGTTGAGGTGTGCCAAAGCTATCGAGAACCACGAGCTGCAGGACTCCTTCAGTCGACCTGAGATATTGAGTCGAGTCGACTGGATCGCATTCAACCGTTAATGGACCCTGATACGTCTGACCGTTGTCTTGCCAGAAATCGACTTATTCTAGTCGACAAGTGTACGTCGACTCGGTCGAGAGCCGGGATTCTTGACTGAATATCGCGTAACCTTACTTGGTAGAGTCGACTGCGTTGAAGTCGACTTGATAATTTCGAACCGTGATGATATGAATCGTTATGAGCCAGTATGAGCCAGTGTGGCTATATCAAATTGAATGTATGATACCAACATTTTGTGCAGTGGGAGTAGGAATAGTTGTGGTTAATAAATAATGTAATGTTGTACCAAAACAAAAATAAATAAATAATGTAATGGCGCCATGTTCGAGTAGGTGAGAGCACGGGTCAGGCACGTGCACCTCGTCTATGTTGTGTAGGTGGGCATTTGCATGGAAGGGGAAGATATGTAAGATCATCACCAAAAACTCATTTTAAGTTTATTTTGCAGTAACTGTCACGTTAAACAGTAATTAATCTTGAACCGAAGAAATCATTTCAAACTCAAAAGAATATTATCGAATTATTATCTTTTACATTTTTTTTTTATACTACCCATATATTTTACAACTTTACAAATGAAATCATACTATTATTTTAAATTCAATTTGGACTTTATGTGATAAAATTAATTATAATGTTACAATCATATGCATAATAAAATTGGAGAAATAAATACTGATTAAATATTAAAATTTAAAAATTACAACACCCAATATAAAATTAAAAATTACAAATGCACAAGATGAGAAATTAAAATTTACGACCCCTTAAGATAAAATTTAAAATTACAACGCACAAAATGAAAATATTACAACAATCGAGTGAAAATACATAGTCTTTCAAATCTCGGAATTGGTGAATTCCTCCACAAATGATCAATAAGTGCATCCCGAAGTGCAGTGTGTCATCTTTATTTTTAATTCTTTTGTACCGAAATATGAATTCTTGAAATCGAGTACTATCATCTGTTGTCATTTCGACCTCTGGTGGTGGTGTTTCAATCTCAGTTTGATTGGTGAACTTAGATCACGTTCATCCTCGACAATCATGTTATGCAAAATTATACATGTGATTATGATATCATGTAGCACTTATTCTTTCCAATAACGTATTGATCATCTTATATTGCCAAAACGTTATTGAAGAATTCCAAATGCACGTTGAACGTCTTTTTGCATGCTTTCTGTTTCATTGTAAAATATATTTTTTCGGGCCCCGTGGCTCATTAATTATTTGCACAATGGTAGACCATTTTGGATATATCCTATCAACTAAATAATAACCAATGTTGTATTCTTTTCCTTGAATTATATAATGAGTTGGAGGAGCAATACTTTGGGTTAGATCCGATAAAGATAAGATGATTCTAGAATGCTGATATAATTGTTGGAGCCCGACCATACAAAATAAGCATGCCATATCCATAGATCATAATATGCTACAAAATCAAGAATGATTGTAGGCTTTCCACTACGACCAACATATTGGTCAACCCACGTTGTTGGGCAATTTTTTCACCCTCAATGCATGCAATCTGAACTCCCAAACATTTCTGGAAAACCACGTTGCCGACCAATATATAAAAGCCTTAAAATATCATCAGATGTGGGCCTCCGCAGATATCGCTCGCCAAACACCTCCACTATCGCTTCACGAAACTTTTTCATGCTTTCAATTGCAGTAGACTCACCAATTTTAACATATTTTTCTGTGGCATATGCTGGAACGTCGTATGCTATCATGCGAAAGTCAACAATTATTTTTTGTATTAGCATGTGTTCTGAGAAGACATGCTTATAATCTCTCCACTAGTACTGAACCCGTGCGATGCACGGGGTGAACAATTTTAAGGCTATTTGCACAACCTTATTATTGTTTTTTGAATAAAAAATACTAATCAACCTGGAATAAGAAAATAAACATTACATGATATTATATACCTCTTTGTACAAAACATTTTTTGTTTGCCTTGTAGGCAAACCATCATCTCCATAAACTAATACTTGAAGTTATTTCAATTAGAACATGAGAAACAACTGAATATAACTGGTCGTGACTAAAAAACTGACTTTTTAAGAACAAACCAACATGGGATAAAGATTATAATCGTCATGACATAAGAAACCATATGGTGAAACTGTCTCACTCATTACCAAAGCTTCGAAAATTAAACCGAAAAGGGGGAAATCAACTTTGAACTTAACCAAATTCTTGATATGGTGGATTACGATTTTATATTGGGCAATTGTGAGACAATAACCATAATATATTTTTACAAAACGCAAACAAAACAAATTTGAAATTTTTTTTACCCGATTTTACTTGGCTAAAAAGTAACGCGTTATTCTTTTGGTGTATATCGTAATGATTTTTTTTTTAACTAATTCTTAGCCACACGTGCAGTAAAACTACTACTATGTTTGTGTTATATGTAATTCAATCTTATTATTGTAAAGTTTATTATTTAGATGATTCATAGCATAAAAGGACTTGGAATTAATCACAAATTGATATTTATGTAAACTATATAAAATTCGACCCTTTATGCCGAAATCAGATTTATGGGTGTGAATCATTTTCATATCATAAAATCGTCTACTTTATATCATATTCGAATTTATTAATAACAATACATTTCTTACCAACAATAAAAATGACCTCACATACATTAAATAAAATCGCCCATATTATACCATAAAATTATCCACTTTATACCAAAATTGGATTTATTAGTTTTGAATTTTTATACCCTAAATTGACTAATAATTAATCTTTATCAATATTGTAAATATGATTTTCAAATATTACATAGGTATACCAAATTATTGTGTATAACTATTGTTGTTATCACATAATTAAGTAAGTATAATCAGAGATCCAATAAAATTATAGATTGTCACATGCTTCAGTTATCATACTTTAGGGACATGATCTGCATTGCATATCAGTGATAATAGTAGAGATATTAACAATTCAAACAATAAAACTCAACATGATATTTAAATTTTTCAAAATTTATAAGAATCACCACATGTTCCTCAATCTTCATATGCTTAGAGAATAACTTTGCAACATGACATTCTTTTGTCAAAGACTACAATTATATGCCCATAATAACTTTGCAGCATTGCATTCTTTTGTCAGAGACCACACTTTCCTGTATGATTTGTATTTGGTTAATTAACAACATGAAAGAAATGTCATCTACAGATATATACATATAAGCATAAACATTGTTACATTCTTAAATAGTGTCAGAAGATCACAATCTCCATAATCTGTCTATATTTGCAAACTCAGACACTACTTCACACATATAATTTTTTTAATGAACCTAGAACTCTTGTACATTGGCACAGAAGAAAAGTTGAAACAGACAAAAGCATATACCTGAGCAGTTCCAATGACATTAACGCTGACTTTTCCCTCTTCTAAATGTTTTCTGCACAACACTTCTTTCCATGATGAAAGAAATGAAACCTTCACGTGCTCCTCCAACTTGCCACAAATATTTTGTGATGTGTTCCTTGGATAGCTCTATTATACACATTTCTGCAAGTTTAATGGAGATTATGCAACTTCAAATTCTATATCCAGAAACCAGCCCAAGAAAAATTAAAGATAAACTTGAAAGAATCTACAAACACAATGCATATTTTTACAGACAATGAGAATCGAAAAGCATTTTCAGAATGTTAAATAGACCACTAAGTATTATTACTATAATGTGCTGTCAAGTATTCAATTATAATGTACATCTAAATTTTAAATATCTTGCATGATATAATTCCATCAAATACACGGACATCTACTGGTCACGAATTTTTTAGAATTATCAGCACACCACGAATTTTCACCAGTTGAATATTCAAAACACTCATTTTACAAAAAAACCAAAATCCAGTTGACACATAAGTTTATGAAAGACGGTTTTAGATATGTAAGAATCAAATGCAAAAGTTCCATATTCCTTTCTCTTAATTCCTCGTATGCTTCAATACACAACCCTAAGGAGACACCATTAAATATTTAAAAAATTTACAGCATTAAAGAATCAAGCACGATCATTGAGTTACTATACTCCATGATAGCATAACCATCAATAAAGCAAGTAAAGCACAACAATAAATCAAATTAAACAAAAACAAAGAACACCCAAATGGACGACTTACATTGGTCCTATACGCTCTGGGCTTTTAAATCAAATTATGCGGCGGATGGGTAAGACAACGTATTGCAGATGGCGGTGGAAAAATGAGCAGCAGCGTGCGGTGTTCACACCCAACACACCCCTTCTTAATCTACAGCAACACACGGGTCCTGAGGCAACACACGTCCACTGGCCGCAAGTTTCCAATAGTGAAGCTCAACCGTCCATCCATCGCATACACCCGACCCTCAAACCCACACGCGAAGCAGCCTCAACGCGGCCTGCGAAGGCCTCGAGTCGCCTTTTTCGAGCCGAAACTCTTCGGCCAATTTATACCTAAACCATCCTTATTTACATCTTGCACTAACAAATTCGACATTATTTTTTCACAACCACAGAAACACGCACAAAGCATAATCACAATTAAATGCACAAAAAATAGGGCATATGAAGAGAAATAACGAATTCTTACATATGATGCAGTGATAGATCTAAACATCCTTCATGAGAAGCAGAAACGAAGAAGGGTTTGCCTCCGAGTCCATCAACTCCATGACCCAATTCTCCTGCTCCGCCGTCGCAACGAACCTGTCGTCCTCGTCATCCAGCGGCAACGCCACCCCCATCTCCTTCACCATAAATACCAGATAAAGCTCTGCCATGCCTATATCCTCATGTCGAGACCTAATTGGAGAAACAATTTGGATTTTATTGTTAGGAGAATTATTTGGATGTGATTTGTTTGCACTAGAATTAGTTTAGATTTGATTTTGATATCCAATAATTACGTGAATTAAGTTAAATCCACAACAAATCCCATCAATTTAGGATTGGAAAACCTTATTTTTTTTTTGGTTATTTCATTGGATTTTGTAAACAATTTTCTATAAGTAGTAAGTCAAATGAGTTGACTCACTTTCTTTATGAAGTTTCCCTAAATGATTTTTTTTATCTCTCTTTTTCAATATATATAGATGTTAACATATAAGTAACATATATGTTACTTTCACGTAAATACTAATATATATATATATAAATTATTTCTAACAATTATTAGAAATATGATTGATTCTTAAAAAGAATTTTTAAATGACAATTATTAATTAAATATTTTATATTGTATTTTAAAAACTTTTAAAAGTACGTATGGTAAGTGTATTTCTTAAATTAAGTGTATTAAGTATGGTAAGTGTATTTCTTAGATTTATTTTGATTTTGATTCCATATTTTGATTGTATTCCTAATAAAAATTGGATAAAAAAGATATGTTAATAAAAAGAGATTTTGTTAATTTACTATTTTTAGACAATAATTAATGAAATTAGCAGAAAATTATTTCTAAAAGTGAATTATGTTAATCCTTATTATATATTAATAGATTTTATTTTTCTGAACGCATAATTATCTATTGTATGGGTATTTGTGTTTATTTTTGTTATCCAACACATGTATTTTTGTATAGGATCAATTAAATTGTCAAGATCACCTTAATTTAATGTGTTGGTGCAATATTAAAATATTTCTATATTAAGATATTATGGGAATCAGAAGTATCACATTGGAAAAAACTAGTAGATATCCTGTGCACATGCACAGATGTACATAAAATATTTTAAGTAATATTTGAGAATTTAATATTAAATTCTAGATAATGAACATATTACATTTTAAAAAATTTGATCATTAGGAAAAATAAATTAACGATTTTATTATTATGAACAATTGTTTATTATCATTATATAATAATAGTTTGATTATTATTATTATTATTAAGAAACAATTGTTTATAAGATTCCAAAGTTGTTTGACTATACTATTAAAACAATTTACTTATTATTTTTAAAGAAAATTTTTCATAAGATACAAAAGGAAAAGATAATATTGATG